AAATACTTGATAAGGGAATACTTTATGAAAAAAATACAACATTTTTAATGTTGGAAGCCGATTACTATTTACTATTTAAGAACCAGGTAAACTCAGTAATTCATCTGACAAGCCAGGGTGGCCTATGTCTATAATCCCAACATCTGGGAGGCTGAGGTAGGAGGATCGCTGCAGGTTCAAGGCCAGTTTGGGCTACCTAATGAATTCTTAGGCCAGGCCCGCCTGGAATACACTATGTGGGCTACATAGTTCCAGACCAACCTGGACTACGTAATGAGACTGTGTCTCAAGAAAACAAACTCATTTGACAAATGTTTATTGAGGGCTCATTATGTGCTGAGAGCCATTTGAAGCACTTGGGATATAAAAATCAACCATAATCTTTACCTGTATAAAGCTGGTGTTAGTGGAGACTGATGAACAATGAGTAACATGTAAACATCTTCATATCAGTTCAAGTGAGATGCTTCTGTACGATGATTATTAAAGAATAATTTTCAATAAAGTAAAAAAGGAAGAAACCAAGCCGGTGTTATAATCAATTCATAGTAGAATCCTTAGAGGGGCTGGAGATTTAGCTCAGCGTCATAAGCGCCTGCCTTGCAAGTGCGTGGTCATGAGTTCGATCCCCAGTACCGATTAAAAAAAAAAAGAATCCTTAGAATAGAGATACTTAAGGTCAGGAATATTGGAGTGAATATCCAAATTGAACAGAACGAGCTTTCTCCATGACTGGAGGAGGAAAGGCAATAAATGTCTACCACAAAGAACAGAATTTACACGTCTGTAGTCAAGAATTATTCTGCACTATATCACTTATCCATAATGTAGTCATGGGACAGCCTCAGTGGAGTCTGAAACTAAATCGACATACCTTTTACCATCCATTTTGTTGTACTGAAGTGGAAATCTTTTCCCATTACATGAATTAGCAGAAAGCTTTGGTTTTCTGAGCTCTTCAGAACTGTAGATAAAAAGGGTACAAAGGTCTAGCAGAACTAAGGGAGATTCCCTGAGGCGGTAATTGTTTGGGAATAGGGTTAAAGTAGGGAGGGGTCCTTTTGTTCATGTGTGTTGCCTGACTGACTGGAATGATAGACTTGCGATTAACAGGAAAGAAGAGATAGAGAGGAGGGCAGGAAAAGTAGAGGCCTCAACCTCAGCTGTGACCTTTAATTATTGAAATACAGATTTGAGGCAAGTGAATATGTAAAACTGGAGTTCAGGAATATAATTAGATTAGACGGAAACATTTGGAGTTCATGTGTATAGCAGATATACTGAAGACCCTAGACTAAATGAGAGGACTAAAGAAGCTTGTTCAGTGCTCCAGGCATCATTACTTCTGAGAATACAAATACTCTTCCTTCATGGATGTCATATTAAAAGATGATCTACATGGCAGTTCCTCAAAAAATTAAATGGAAATGTCACAGCAGTTCCTCTTGCGGGTATATATTCAGTAGAATTGAAGTGAGGATTCAAACAAACATTTGTACATCAGTGTTTAAGCCAGTGTTAGGCATAGTAATTAGAAGTGAAAACAACCAAAATGTTCCATGAAGGACAGGTGCATAAACAAAATGTGGTGCATACATACATGGAATATTATTCAGCCTTCACGTGAACTAACACTCTGGTACATGCTACAACACAGATAAACCCTGAAGACGGGTTTGAGGAAAGAAGCAAGATACCTGCTGCATGGAATAGCTGGGAGTGGCTCCACAGTGCAGTTTTCACTGATTGCATCATTACTGTGGAGTTTCTGTCTAACACTCGCATGTGAAGCAGGGGGCTGCTGAACAGATCTTAGCAGTAGCCGCAGAGATCGCAGCTTCTAGTTGGGCGCTTCCTTTTCCCACCTCCTTGCCCACGTGCAGGACTGTTACGTCTTCTTCTCTGTCTGTCATGTCTCTTCCATCTCTTCCTTTCCCAACTACCAAACACGACAAAGAATCCTGAGGCTCATCTTCAAAAGTAGAGTAGAAGGTGAGCTCAGAGCAGCCCATTCCGTCTGAGTTCTTAGCTGTTAGCTGTGTCTCAGGACATATGGGTTGGCGGCAGAACTTGGGGTGTCATATCCTTCACTCACATCTAATGTGGCTGGCAGCGCATGTTCAGCAAGACGGTTGAAGTGTAGATGAACAGAAAGAGCTGAGGTACAATACCAGAGTGAGAGAACTGAGAAAAGCTGTCACTGTAAACAGTAGACAACTGAGAAACAGTATGTGTATGACAATTTCAGAGCTGGAATTCAGATGATTCTTACATGATTCCGGTGTAGGGCACTCAAAATACACTTTATTTCAAAGTATTAAGATGGGTAAGGAATGTATTTGCCTAATTGATCTAATTATGTGTCTGTCTTTCGTGCCCCATTGTGGGAATTGAAGACAAGGATATTAGCAGCAGTAGAAAACACGTGGACTTTGGAGTCAGGCAGATCTGTTTGACTCCAGCCCCTCTCTCTAAGCTGTTGTTGGAAGCTAATCTTATCACACTGTACCTTAAATGTTTTGTGCATTATAGAGTTATTATTAGAATTGAATGAAAGGAACTTGCATATAATACATTTGTATGTTAAAAGTAATAAAATATTACAGTTTTGTTCCCTTTGTTTTTCAAGTTCTTTGAGCCAGACCTCTTTTTCTCTTTTGCATCTTCCACAGAGCTTCCTCCTCTTTGTTTTTTGGAGACGGGCTCTGCCTCTGTAGCGTGGGATGGCCTCGCACTTGTGATCCTCCTGCTTGCCTCAGCCTGTCAAGTGCTGGGATTACAGGCATATGTCACCACCATGGTTGGAAGCTTTACATTTAAGGCATTAAAATATTTATCAAACTGAGTATGTTTCTTTCCACCTATTAAATCTAACTGCTGGTTAAGGACAGCCTAAGGCAAGCATATTTATAAGGCATTTTATCTTAGTAGTTAATGCTATTGTTATTAAATATTTTATCATGCAAGTTTCTTTTTATGCCAAGTGCTGAGTTTTCACTTGCTGATCTGGTCTATCATCTTCATTATTGGAGGGTAGCTCAAAAGATTTCTTTCTCTTTTTGGTACTGGGGATCAAATTCCTGACCTTATGCTTGCTAGACAGGTACTTGTGCCACTGAGCTAAACCCCTGGCGCTCAGAAGTTTCTTAAAGCCCATTCCTGTTTTGTTTTGTTTTCTTTTTCCTATTTCCAGGGTCACGTTGACTCATATTCTCAGTCTAATATTTAAGGAAATCAACTTAATAAAGGACGAATTTATTTTGACCCATTGTTGCTTCGTTTTCTTGCTTTGGGCCTATGATGGCTTAGTACATTATGACAGGAGCACGTGGCAGAGGGGTCCCATTACCTCATGACTGCTGGGAAGCAAAGAAAGAAAGGAGGAAAGAGAAGAGAGCAGAGACCAGGGTCCCAGTAGCTGCCTCAAGGGCACATAATCTGCTGCCTTCTGTTAATGAGGCTCAACCACCTAAGGCTTCCACCCCCACCCAGTAGCCACGTGGGTTGAACATGTCCCTGCCATGTGATTTTGGGGGACATTCAAAATCCCAACTGTAGTAACTTACAGCTCCAGTTTTTATCAGTGGGCATATTATATATTCTTTTCACTACTTATATGCAGTTCTCTTTTAAAATGCCTTAGCCACTACTCTAGCCAAGAGTAAGTATAGGAATTGTTAAATCTCCTTTTGTCAAATATTATGCAGCAGTCCCATGCTAGGGTAGATACAAACAGTATAAATGATTTCTGCCACTCAAGAAGCTATTTCATGTACCTATCTGGCAGTGGAGATACCATGACCAAGAATGTAGTTTTCCCAGGATAAGGCTTATCCATGGCAGTCCAGATGTGCTAACCCCTAAGATTTCCCAAATGTAGGAAACTTGACTGTATAATTTGTGGTATGCATTTTCACTTCCCCAGGTTTGGGGGGAGAAGCTATTTCTCCAGTAAAAAAGGTGCACATGTAGCCAAGTTTAATTAATTTTTTAGTGATGCAACATTGCTTTCATGTAGTACCATTGAAAATTATTTAAAATTTTTTTATTTTAATAAAGCAAAACAAAAAAGGATAGAAATAATACAGAATTTTAAAAAACAGTAAGAAATCAACACTAGTTAATATATTGCATATTATCTTAGAAATAGTTCAGGTTACAAGATCGAGGCATAAAAATGATCAAACAGTGACAGCACGAACTGTTCTTTTTGATGAACTAACAGAATTAGTAGTATAGTTATCTATCTTGCACACATATATATACATACATATATACATATGTGTATACCTACACACATAAAATCTTTTCCTTTCTTCCATTTCTCTTCTCCCCTGTCTCAGTTGTTCTAACCTTTTGAGTACTTTCTTACCCTTTGATTATTATAATATCTATTGTATATTTTGGATCTTATTACTCTTTCAGTTTTTTATTATTATTGTGTTTTTTACACTAGGGAGACAATACGGTATTTACAAATGTGAGTCTGATGTATTTCACTTAAAAATGTGGTCTCCATTGCCTCCATTTACCTATAAAAGCCTCAAGATATCCTTTTGTATAGCTGAGTAATATTCCATTGCATAAAAATACCACATCTTTTTTTATCCATTCAGCAGTTGATGGGCATTTTGGTTGTTTCCAAGGTTTAGCTATTACAAATTGTGCTGCTATAAACGTGGGTGCACATATATCACTGTGACATGACCTTTTCAGTTTTTCTGGAAAAATACCCAGAAGGGATTGAATGAAACTTCTAATCCTAGTTTTTTGAGGAATGTCCACACTGAGTTACACATATACATGTAGACAAGGATTAAAAGGTATGTACCAAGTCTTGACAGAGCTTATTTCTGAGTAGTGGTGATTTGGACACTTTTTATTTTTTAAGCTTGCTTACGTATGTTTTCTAAATTTTTGAAAAATCATTTTGAAATTATATGAAATTCATCATTTGCCTCTTCTTACTAACAAAACAGTGATCTTTTTCTTATATTCAGCTTTTGCGAGAATTGAAGCATCCCAATGTGATCGCCTTACAGAAGGTGTTCCTTTCCCACAGTGACAGGAAAGTGTGGCTGCTGTTTGATTATGCGGAACACGATCTATGGGTGAGTCTCACCTTGGCTTGTTTGGTGCAATATAGAGCCATTTATGTGATGATACACAGAAAGGGAGTCTGGCTGTTAACCACAGCTTCAAGTAAACCCAAAATTCATTGGTTTTAAAGAAGCTAAGCAATAAACCAACATTTATTAAAAAGATACTATTTGTAATATTCAGAAATTTTATTTCAGAAAACTGTAATTAGTGTGATTTTATGTAAGTAGTTAAAGGCATTTTACTAATATGTGCAGTGAAAATTTCTTTTGTGATACAGTAGTTCAGATTTAATCAGGCATGTACTTGAGAACCATTTCTAAATTAAGTCATCATCTTGTAGCATTATACTATTTAAACTGAGTGCACTAAATAGAAGTGTATATATGGTTTTGTAGATTTTAGGATGTTTTATGACTAAAAGAATAAAACATTCTGATTCCTAACTTGTTAAATTAGGAAATAAAGGCATTAAGTAGTTTCTTTGAATAACTGCTGAAAGTACAAAGTAATTCAAATTTGGCAGTAAGTTCAAATTATGAATAATTAAATTTTGATTCAATATGGTGTCATTTGTCATGATATAAGTTACAACTCTATTTAGGAATAACTTTAATAGAGTAAGGTATGAAGGAACTTTCAGAGTTCATGCCATTAAGCAGCTGTTGACTAGATTCTTCAGTGATTTTTTTTTTTCAACTCTCTCCATGGATATTGATAAACTTTATTTTTCCCCATTTTTCTACAATCCCATATATTTCTACCAAGGTTTACTTGATGATATATGTACTTCACTTTGAATATCAATGGCATGGAAAAGATACTGTGCTTTGGGACTCATCAGATCCTGTAGGAGGATCCTTGTGTCCAACATGGTGCACAGATTAGTCTTCCCTGTTTCTTTTCCTTTTTTAAAATCTGTTTCTTAAAAAAGAATTATATATGTGCCTCCTAGTATATTAATAACTTGAAAATAAGTTCAAACATATGACCCATATGTTTGAATATTTCTTAAAATCAAGTGAATTTTGTAGAACAGTTTATGAAAATAAGAAAGCTGTAGAAATAACTTAATAAGTATATGTGCAGCTTGGTCAATTTAAAGTTACTAGAACTCTGTTGACGATGTTACCCTTGTTGTTTGAGTAGGATTAAGTAGTCCTTATTATCCATTTTGGTGTATTTTAGAAGGTGGAGTAGAGCTTTGGGGCTAGGAATAGCAAATAGCATTTGTTTCCTATTGTTACACTGTTTTTACAACCAGTAGTATAATACAGATACTGAAATTTCAGTATGAGTGGAGTGGGGATTTAGCTCAGCAGCTCAGGACCTTGCCTGGTAAGCATGAGATCATGAGTTTGATCTCTGGTACCAAAAAACAAAACAAATTTCAATATGAGGTTGGCAGTGGTGGTATGTACCCGTGATCCTAATACTCAGGGAGGTTGAGGCAAAAGTATCAAAAGCTCGAGCCCAGTCTGCCTGACTTAGGGAGACTCTGTCTCAAAGTAAAAAATGAAAGAACGCTGGTGATGTAGCTTAGTGTCAAGGCCTTGGGTTCAATCCCCTACTACTGCCCCCCTCAAATAAATAAATACATATATATGATCCAGTTGTATTTATTACAAGGGGATTAATATCTTTATTTTTCTTTCTTCTTTCCCTTCTCTCCTTTCCAATTGTTTCCTATTTAATATAACCTCTTGGAATATGTCTTAATACATTCCATACCAAAACAAAGCAAAAGTTTCCCAATAATTTCATTATTGATAGTGATAGCACCCAAATGCTCTTAATGCTAACTTTTCATAAAATAGTAAAGATTTATAGTTTTTCTTTTTTCTTTTTTCACTTTTATCAGTAGAGAACTGAACTTTTTTAGGCAAGTACTTAAATATGTATCAACTCTTTGTAACTTTTGGTCCTATTTAATGAAAATCTTAAAAGTTTTAGTAAATCTCATATTAGAACCCCACATTAGTATGGTTATAGTCTCCCCCAAAATTGATTCAATTTTGATTGATCTTATTATTAAAATTATTTTCTTTGTGTCATTACTGGTCTTTAAAAAGTAATTTTGAATATAGAGCATTTATTATAGCCTTGATTGGATTATACTGTCAAAGATGTTAGCAAAGACTATATGTTGTTATACTAAATCTTATTTTTTAAAATTTTAGCATATAATCAAGTTTCATCGTGCATCAAAAGCAAATAAAAAACCCATGCAGTTGCCAAGATCTATGGTTAAGTCATTACTTTACCAGATTCTTGATGGTATCCACTATCTCCATGCAAACTGGGTGCTTCACAGAGACCTTGTAAGTATGCTTCTTTAAAATTCACCAATATAATCCTCAGGTTCATAAGCGTGATGATTGGGTGTTCATGCTCCATGCATGACATGTGCCTCCTTTGAACCTTGTTACGACCTTGGCACATTACCCATCTGACGTGGAAAAAAAAAAATTCACCAATATATCTTATCTTCCTTTTGAACAGATTATGTCTTTCTTGGTACAATTACAATAAAACATTAATTATAAAAATTTTTGAAAATATACATAAGTGAAGAGGAATGGAAATCATCCATAAACTTACAGTGGAGGATTACCTTTAACATTTGGTGTTTATTATTCCATTGTTTTTCCACATAACTGAAATGTCCATTTAATTTTTAACCTGTGATTAGTGTGTAATTTTAACAGAGGAGTTATAAGTGACACAAACACATTTTGGGTCAGTTTCTTATTTATATGATTGTTTATCATCAGTAAAAACATTGTTGAAGACTTAGTTCTGATTTTTTCTTGTAAGACCTAAACCTGAAATGGTAGCATTGCATGTGGTGGAAAGAATGTTGTTATCAGCATTGATAATAAATAAATGAATATATTGAGCAAGGGGAATATACATATTGGACAACTTAGCCATAATTCAGATACTGGGCTTTACTTGTTATTTATTTAGTATACATGTAACATTTATTTATTTATTTTTTATTTTAAAGAGAATAAAACAAATGTAAAGCCACTCAAAATGAAACAATGAAAGGAATAAGTGTTATAGGATTATTATCTTATTCAAAATAAGATAATAGGAAATCAATGGTGGTTACCATAATATATCTTATCTTCAGAATAATTGCCCGCACACCATCAGGCATAATAGAATCAGACAAAACAAAAGAATGAAAATGATACAGGACTTCAAAACAAGTTAATAGGAAATTAACATTGATTACTACCTTTGCTTTTTGGATATCCCTCCCCTTTCACTTTCATAATATCTAATGTGGATCCCACTAACTCCTTCAGTTTTTTATACCAGGGAGACAATACAGTGTTCACCCATGTGAGTCTGAACCATTTCATCCATGAGCATGATCACAGGTTACATCCATTTATCCACAGGAGCCTCAAGATTATCCTTCTTTATAGCTGAGTAGTTGTCCATTGTATAAAAATACCGTATCTTTCCTATCCATTCTATGGTTGATTGGCAAGCTACCCCTGCTTTTTTCTGGGTCCCTGTCACGTGGAGCATTGTCTTGTCTCCTTTGACCTTCAGTCCATGAATTTTCTTTTGTATCAGATATGTTTCTTGTATATAGCACATTGATAGATCTTGTCTCCCGATCCACTCTGCCTGTGTTTCTTTTTATTGGTGACTGGAGCCCATGTATGTTAATGATTATGACCAACATGCACTGGTTCATTTCTACCATGCTGTCCTCCTGCCATTGATACCCCACTTTTCCCCTCTGCTCAATTGCCTGCTCTGCTTCACAAACCCCTTTATTATTACTGGAGCCATGATCACCTTTATCTCCTTCTATAATATCCTTCAGCACTCTTTGTAGAGTTGATTTGGTGGTCATGATTTCCTTCAGTTGTTCTTTATCATGCAGCTGTCTTATTTTTCCATTAATTTTGAAAGATAATTTTTCAGGATACGTCAATCTGGGTTGGAAATTGTTTTCCTTTCAGGACTTCAAACACATCACTCCAAGCTCTTCTTGACTTGATGGTTTATGCTGAGAAGTCTGCCTTGATTCTGATGGGTTTTCCTTTATACGTGATCTGTTTCTTTTCTCTAACAGCCTAGTCTTCCTTTCTTGTGCTGAATTTCTGGGATCTTGATTATTCTATATTTGGGTGTAGATTTATTTTGGCTGTGGCTATTTGAAATTCTATATGCCTCACTTATCTGTATGTAAGGTCCTTTTCCCATGCTTAGGAAGATTTCTGCTATTAGTTCTGTAAATAGCCTTTTTATGTCGTTTGTGTTGACATTTGCTTTTTCACTAACACCTGTCATTCTTAAATTACTATTTTTTTTGCATCATCTTGTAGCCGTTGAATTATTTCCTGGTTCCTCATTATTTTCAAGAGATCCTTCCTTTTATGATCATTAGCTGCCATCCTGATTTCAAGATCTGAAAGTCTATCTTCAGTTTCTTTCAAGCAGTTTTACCAGCTTTCAATGGAGTTTTTAATTTCCTGGACCTCTTTGAATCTGTTTCATGCATTGCAGTTCTTTCTTGTATTGGTCATTCAAGATTTCCGTCATTTTCCAATGCTTCTCTTTTTTTTTTTTATCTATATCTTTGTTCTTTTACCTGAGATAGTATTTCTGATCTGATTACTTTTACACCTCATGAAGTTTTTTCTTTACTTCAGTTGCTATCCTTTCAGAAATTTCAGGTGTGTGACTTCCAATTTCTTCTGTTTTTGTGTCTCTCATACTTATTCTATGTGGGCCAGAGGTCTAAGGTTGCCTTTTGCTCCTTCATCTTGACATTTTTCTGGATTTCTCTGGGTGAGTTGCTCATGGAGTTGCAAGTGCTTCCCCCATTGGCTGCCTGTCCATGGTGTAGGGAATGTGTCAGGCACCAGGGAGGCAGTGGGGTCTGGGATGGACTTCTACAGACACATAAAGCTACACTGAGGCTCCCCTAATGATGGTAGTTCTTTGGGAACTTGGTTAGCGGTTCTCACATCTGGCACTGGCTATCTGTCCCCAGTGACAGGTGGCGGGCTTGCGGGAGTATCTAGGTTCAGTTTATTCTAGTATTTACAGTCTGTGATAATGACCATGTTGTGTCCCAGAGATGTGCCGGGTATGCAGCCAATCTTGGCCTCTGGATGTGGGGCTGGGACTGGTCTTCTGTCAGTGGAGTTCCCCAGAATCCAGCTGCTGTCTCCTCACTGCTGCATTGGATACTTCCGTGTTGCTGGCCTTGCTGATTACTTCACCGTCCAAGGGTCTTTGTGCATCTGTGTGCTGGGCTTTTGTTCTGGGTCTTGGCATTCCAATGGATCTTACACTGTTTTACCCAGACTACCCTCCAGGATGCAATGGAGGAGGCCCAGATCCCAAACTCAATGTCTTCTAGCTGGCCCACCCTCCAGAATATAATAAAAACATTTATTAGTATCAGATTACATGCTAGATGCTCATCTTCATATTATCAGTTTAGTTTATATTGATGAGAGTTTTTTTTATTTGTTGTCTTAAGAAGACTTGGGTATTGAATAGCTATAATCCTCATGAATATCTCATGGGAAATTTTATTTTGTCCCCCTTAAAGTAATTTCATTTGTTTTTTAGGCTTTTAAGAATTTTAGGAATATAGTAGGAATAAATTATTATTAGGTAGATTCAATTTTACTGAGAAGTATTTATTACAGAAAGTAATGAACACAGAAAGAGATCAAGTTACTATCCTTTAGTACCTGGTAAGCTAAGCCCAGACATCAAACTTGACAATGTCTTCTTATAGCATTTAAGTTCACTTGGGGCCAAATGGTAGCGACCATGACAGATGCATTCACCATTTTAACAGAGGTATTACACGTACTATGTTTAAGTATAACATTCTTCAAGACTGCCACCTGTCTGCTATTAACCATGAGTCATCACGTTTTAAAACAGTCCTTAGGAATATGAAGTTGTTCTAGGTCAGTTTTACAGATGATGTTTAGATTTTAATTTTGTATATTCTTAGTGTAACAGATGTGAGTTATATTTTCAAGGTTATGATCATGTTTGAATAATTATTCTACATCTTTGTTGAAGACTAATTTGAGTAATTTTGTCTTGTGGTTCACAGAATTGCACATTTGTCTTAGAAGAGTGTAGCACATTTTATTTGTGATTTTGTCGCCTGAATAAAGCATGACTAGAGCTGTTGTCTGCATCTAAACTTGTTGCTACTTCAGTGTCCTGTCTTTTGGTAGTGGCACCACCCTCTTCCCAGCCTAGAAGTCTCTCTTCATTCTTTGCAGAACTTTGTTTGTCCTCCATATCCAGAACTTGCCACGTTCTTTCGGTGTCATCACTAGAATATTTGTTCCGTTTGTCGGTTTTCATGTCCAGTGCTTCCTTCCTGTTGAGGCCCTGATGACATCTTTCTTGTAGTACTACTTGTTTTCTTTTCCACAATCCCTTTCCCCTTCTGTCTACTTTAGACCTGTGGGCAGTTTACTTAGCTTCTACACAGTGACTGTGAAACACTTGTTTATTGATAAATGAAAGCTATAGTTTTTTATTGGCCTTTCAGGGCCTTACCACATTTAGCTCTAATGCCTTTAAAATTTTTTCTCTCTCCCTGTTATTTTTTCACATATATTGTGCTTTTGAAGTATTGATTGTTCCCTATGTCAGTCAATACAGTTTCCTGCCTCAGTGGTCTTTATTTCCTCTCTCTTAACACTCTGCCTCTGTCTCTACATATTCAAATACTACTGTCTTTCAGGGCTCAACACAGCATTTAAATTTGTCCTCACACTTATCTCTGCTAGGAATAGCCTCTCCTTGTTACTGGTTCTTTGTATATTTATTTTCTTATGAGCATTTGTCTGTTAGCATTATAATTTATATAGAGGTCTTGGATAATTCTCTAGAGGGCACGATGTGTGTCTGATCCTTTTTTGGACAGTACTGCTCCATATACAGTGATTGTTGAGGAAATTCAGTGAATGAATATCTGGGAGAATATTGATTATTGCAGCATTATTGGGGTTGAACATTTGATCATGTGTGTAAAATAAAGATGGGAGCAGTACAAATAAGACACTTTTAAAGTCCTTTTTGAGGCTCTCTAGTCCAAGAGAAGAAATACACATGCAGATAGTTAAATGGCACTGTGAGAGTTAGGGAAAAGGGTGTGACGTGTGTCTGCAGACTGGGAGGTTCTGACAGCGGGGAGAGCTTCACGAGCAGATGGCATCGAGTTGGCCATTGAAGGATAAATAGAATTTAAAGATTCAGGGGATGAAGGAAATCAAGGAGGATGCTGAATGTAAAAAAAATCTGA